AAAAGAACTGCAGGTTTGTCAGTGTTGATGAGAAATGAATCTACGTGGACACATGATGCAGTGATTCATGAATAATTTTCATATATTCAAAGACTCCGCGGTGTAACTGGCTCACTGATGGGACTCAACATCCCATAATAGCTCCATGTGAGAATAAAGGAGATTACATGAAGTCATTTCACAGCAGTTAAATGAACCTCAGCCTAATATTGACAGAATGAAGTCAGTAGAAACAAAACTTTTACCAGTCAGTTTAATATCTGTGTGTTTGATGTTGAGTTTGTGCCCAGTGTGTTTGGGCTCCATCACATTACAGCTGAATAACTTATATTCAAATATATGAACACTGTTAAGATAGAAACATGTTTCTGTGTGTTAGACACATGACCTCATCACATGACATCACATTACCTATTAACTCTGCAGGCTGTTCCCATCACACCTCACGCTGTTCAGCTGCAGCCATTCGCACTCATTAAAATCTCCCACTCAGTTCAAGCGGCTTTCTGCTTTCGGCCACTGAATATCATGTTATCTGCACTCTACTGATGATGTCTGTTGGTGCTCGCCGTGAACACACCTCTCTCAGGCTGAACATACTCACAGCTGATGGAGCTGATGCTGATCAGCTGTTCTGTTTCTCAGCTCAGGCTCAGCCAGCTCAGAGATCAGGCTCAGATTTTGTTGAGCCTGCTTTCTGAAATAGGGCCCTGGTTAACTGTGAATGGATTTTTAAGGTATTCTGCTAAGGTTAAGGGGTTTTCATTCTGTATTTAATAATTCACTGCAGGTTAAGTCTGAATTTATGGATAAATGAATTGTTAAGGGTTTTAATGGCACTCCACAGAGGTAAAGTTTTTTTTAAAGAAGTACACATCCCTTGAAAGGACATTCCTTTTTTTTAAAGGTGAAAATTAAGGGACTTTTTTGGGAGTAAATCGGATGGATAAGTGAACCAATTAAAGAGGGTTCATAAACTAATCCAAAATAATACCTTAAAATGTTACCCTCCTTATTTCTTCCCTTAAAAACACCTTAAAAACATCCTTATATGAGGATGAAGCTGAAGCTATTTGTTTGTTTGCTTGTTTTTGGATCTTGTCTGGGTAAGTACAAACTGTTTATCGTCATGGTGTCGGTGAGACAATGGTGAGGCTGACAGGAAGTGATGCATTAGCGAGGAGGAAGCTGCTGCATCTGCAGAGAGTCATAGGTGTCTCTGGTGACGGAGCTCAGACCCTGGAACATGGAGAACATTATTAATGATGAAGATGACGAAGGTAATGACGATGAAGGTGATGATGATGATGATGATGATGATGAGAGACTGAACTCACCTGGTACACCTGCTCGTTCTTCCTCTGACGCTGGAACACAAACATCAACAATTATCAATAATCAATATCACATCAATGATTAACAAACACCTTCTGTATAACCTGGTTCTATATGACCTGGCTCGGTATGACCTGGCTCTGTATGACCTGGTTCTGTATGACCTGGTTCTGTATGACCTGGTTCTATATGACCTGGTTCTGTATGACCTGGCTCTGTATGACCTGGTTCTATATGACCTGGTTCTATATGACCTGGCTCTGTATGACCTGGTTCTATATGACCTGGTTCTGTATGACCTGGCTCTGTATGACCTGGCTCTGTATGACCTGGTTCTGTATGACCTGGTTCTGTATGACCTGGCTCTGTATGACCTGGTTCTGTATGACCTGGTTCTGTATGACCTGGTTCTGTATGACCTGGTTCTATATGACCTGGTTCTGTATGACCTGGTTCTGTATGACCTGGCTCTGTATGACCTGGTTCTATATGACCTGGTTCTGTATGACCTGGTTCTGTATGACCTGGTTCTATATGACCTGGTTCTGTATGACCTGGTTCTGTATGACCTGGTTCTGTATGACCTGGTTCTGTATGACCTGGTTCTGTATGACCTGGTTCTGTATGACCTGGTTCTGTATGACCTGGTTCTGTATGACCTGGTTCTGTATGACCTGGTTCTGTATGACCTGGTTCTGTATGACCTGGTTCTGTATGACCTGGTTCTGTATGACCTGGTTCTGTATGACCTGGTTCTGTATGACCTGGTTCTGTATGACCTGGTTCTGTATGACCTGGTTCTGTATGACCTGGTTCTGTATGACCTGGTTCTGTATGACCTGGTTCTGTATGACCTGGTTCTGTATGACCTGGTTCTGTATGACCTGGTTCTGTATGACCTGGCTCTGTATGACCTGGTTCTATATGACCTGGTTCTGTATGACCTGGTTCTGTATGACCTGGCTCTGTATGACCTGGTTCTATATGACCTGGTTCTGTATGACCTGGTTCTGTATGACCTGGTTCTGTATGACCTGGTTCTGTATGACCTGGTTCTGTATGACCTGGTTCTGTATGACCTGGTTCTGTATGACCTGGTTCTGTATGACCTGGTTCTGTATGACCTGGTTCTGTATGACCTGGTTCTATATGACCTGGTTCTATATGACCTGGTTCTGTATGACCTGGCTCTGTATGACCTGGTTCTATATGACCTGGTTCTGTATGACCTGGTTCTGTATGACTTGGTTCTATATGACCTGGTTCTGTGTGACCTGGTTCTGTATGACCTGGTTCTGTATGACCTGGTTCTGCATGTGATCAGACTGACCTCTCGTTTGTTGGCAGGAAGTTCTTTGTATTCTCCGTCGAAGGTTTTGTTGAGACGCTGCGCGTTAAGAGAACAAACATCAGTTTATAATTCGTCCACAGTTCACTTTAGTTTTTATATTTTAACCAGCTGAATAATCATAAACTCACAGAGTACGGGTCCTCCTCTGTTGGCCTGCGGTTCTACAACACATCAGAAAACATTAGGTTCCAACATGTTCTCATGAAACACAGGCTCCATGTTTCAAGGTTCTCAGTTTCAGTTTTACCATAAAGTTAAATATCTCAAGTAAAGTTGCGTACTTAACGTAAAGTTATATACTTAACGTACAGTTATAACATAAAGTTACATATCTAAAGTAAATCTATGTACTTGACATAAAGTTATGTACTTAACGTACAGTTTTAACATAAAGTTAAATATCTAAAGTAAAGTTGCGTACTTAACGTAAAGTTATGTACTTAATGTATGGTTTTAACATAAAGTTACATATCTAAAGTAAAATTGCGTACTTAATGTGACGTTTGGTTGGTTAGGTTTAAGAAGATTAACACGCCGATGTCTTAGATTAAAATAAGCCAAAGTTCACGTACTTTCACTTGAAACACAAACTTCGCTCATGTCAACCTGCGTCATTATACAATCTTTGTCTCGTCACAGTTCTTCACTCATGTCACCACGTTGGTCGTGTGATTGCAGTCCTAACAAGTGTAACATGTGGGTTATGTTTATTAATTTTCCGTAGGTATATGTAGAAACATGAGAACAGTCTGATGGAGAAAGTGTTTATACTGTAAGGTTCTCGTTTGTTTTTGAAGAAGTGAATAAATTAAAACATCAAATTAAGGGTTCTTTAATAAGTTTCAGGTTCTTCAGGGGACATTTAAAGGTACCTGCAGGGGTCTGTCAGGGTTCTATGTTCAGGTTCTTTAATGGTTCCTGACCATGACTCAGAGGTTGTTGTGGTTCTTTTGTTGGACCATGTGGTTCTCTGTCAGAGTTCTTTGATCATTTCATGGATCTTAAGTGTCATGTTAGGGTTCCTCGGAGAACCATGGACAGACCCTGAGGTCATAAAGGCTTCACTGTTGGAACTTCGTCGACACTGTAAGCGTTCCTCATAGAACCAGAGGAGAACCTTTGTTGCAGACACACAGCAGATACAGAACCATAGATGTATAAATGCAGGTATAAACTCACTCTGGCTCTCTCTGGATCTCTCATCAGCGGCTGGTAACTTTCAGTGTCCTGATTCTGCAGATCCTGAACGCATCATCATCATAACATTACACAATGTAAACTTTTACTGTGAAAAACCAAGAGGAAGTCACAACAGGAAGTGTGAACTCACGCTGTAGATGCTCTCCTCGGTCGGCTTCGCTTTGCTCCTGAAGAACTGGAAACAATTTAACATAATAAAAGAGTGTCAGAGTGAGAAGTAGGAAAAGAGGAAATGATGTCAGCAGGAAGTCCTTTCAAAATAAAATACCTTCTCCTTGATGAACATGCCGGTGATGATGAGTCCGTACAGACCCAGGAAACCGTCCAGGATGTAGCACAGCTGAGGGTCGGCTAGCGTTGTCGCCTCTGTGGAGTAAGGACAGGCTTTTATTTTGAAAAGGGGGGGATCTTTTTATTTTTTAAATATTCAGTTTATGAAAAAAACTAAACTTAAGATGCGTCAGAATATTTCAACGTCAAAGTCAGATACGACTCCCTAGATGCATTTCACTGCTGAACATACAATCACAGAGCTGCTTCATGTTCCATATTTAATAATGTGATGTTGAGTGTCAGCTGAGGCTCATGGGTAATGTAGTTTGTAGAGTCTGAATCATGAACTCATAACTAATAAAACAGATGACCATCACTTTAATTATTTTTATATAATTGTAATGATATTAAACAGTAGAAACTCTTCACAGACGCAGTGTGACTCAGACATGAACATGTGGAAAATAACATGTGGGCAGGACTGACAGAGTTAAAACTCATTTCTCTTCACTGGTTTTATTTTTTGTTTTTAGCTTCAGATGTTTAACATGAAATATAAAAATATATCATCTGATGATTACTGATGTATGATATGATGAGTTAGCGCCACACATGACGAACGATGTCATCATGTTATGTACTTAAAGCTACATACTAATCATAAAGTTGGGTACCTAACGAAAGTTACATCCATCCCTCCATCCATTTTCATCCGCTTATCCGGGGAGGAAGACGTCCAGTTCCTGTGTTTAGTTTTTTTTTATTAATGAAGCGTCCTTAACAAACTTCACATTATCACATCAGCTTCACTGAGCTGTCGTCGCCATGGCATGCTCACAGGAAGTGGACTGTGTGTGTGTCTCTGTGGGTGTCGTCCTTTAATCTGATCAACGCAACAGGTTCTTTTGTGTTTTTTTTTTATGTTCCACAGTTTTGTTAAAAACCTCCTTTAAAAAGTCTGAAAACAAAGACAAGTTTTAATGAGGAAATATATTAATGTATTACTATATAAATATGTTACTCAGTGATCTAATTGAAACAGCTGAGTCCAGCTGAGATCAACAGTCTCTTTGCAGTGGAGACCTGACTGAGACGGCAGCGTATGAAAAGTGCTGACGTATTGCAGTAAGCGTGTTGTGTCATTTCTGGTGTTTCTGTGACAGCGTCTCTGTACTGCTCTAGCGAACTCTACCAGCTTGCTTTCTGTTTTTTCCTCACTTCAGTTGCTTCAAGTCTTAACCCACACTAGCTCTGTTTAAGCACTTATAGCTCTCCTCCTTCTTACGACTTTCTTGCTAATCTCTTAGCTGTTGTTTGCATGTTATTAGCCTTGTTAGCTACATTAGCTTAACACCCACTGAGGAGAAAACTCTGATCATTGGTAGCTCTATTCTGAGAAACGTGAAGTTAGCAACACCAGCAGCCATAGTCAAATGTATCCCTGGGGCCAGAGCAGGCGACATTGAGTCAAATTTAAAACTGCTGGCTAAAGCTAAACGTAGATTCAGTAAGATCGTTATTCATGTCGGCGGAAATGACACCCGGTTACACCAATCGGAGGTCACTAAAATTAATATTGCCTCGATGTGTGAATATGCAAAAACGATGTCGCACTCCATAGTTTTCTCTGGACCCCTCCCAAATCTGACCAGTGATGACATGTTTAGCCGCATGTCATCATTTAATCGCTGGCTGTCCAGGTGGTGTCCAGCAAACGATGTGGGTTTCGTTAATAATTGGCAAACTTTCTGGGGAAAACCTGGTCTTATTAGGAGAGACGGCATTCATCCCACTTTGGATGGAGCTGCTCTCATTTCTAGGAACCTGGCAAACTTT